GTAATTTGGCCTGATATGTATTTGCAATTTTATAACAAAATGTCCCTATATTGAGTCAGTGTCCTCATTTTTGGCCTTTTTTATTAATTCTTTATGATAAAATGAGTGTCCCCATGTCAAATTGTCCGCAGGTCAAGGTGTCCGCGTGTGGGGGTCTCACTGTACAGTATTTCAAAATTTTGGAAACAGACGAATCCCCTTCACAATGCATAATCAACCTCACCAATGAAGACTATCCCCCTCAAACCTCTTCGGTTCAATTTTTTTGAAGCAATTGGGGTATTATCCTGAATATTCAGGAAAGAGAAAAGCAATCATGTAAAATGTATCTTGCTGCTTTTTAAAGGAAGTGAATATGTAATTAATCAAATTTACCCTTGCCTCCAAGTTCAGCATCTTATCAAATAATTTATTCAGTATTTTCAGGAGCTGAAGATCACCAATTTTTATTTCCTGTAATTCTTCCTTTTTATCTCTGACAAAAATAGTTGTTTCCCTATGTCAAATTGTTGATTGTTGCTTGAAAGAAACTTGTGTGACAAATTGAGCAACTACTGTATTTACTTTTCTTGAGTACCACACACCTTTGAGTAAGACACCCACCTTTTATTGGCATAAAATGTGCCAACACATTTATTGCTGCATAAGACACACACCCCAGTTTAACATGGTTGAAATTCAAAAAGCAAGTGTTGAGCAAAATATAACACCCCATGTAAATGAATGTAATAACATGAAGCATTTCAACTGGATTTGTGCCCAACAGAATTTCCTGTTTATCATTCATGCCTACAAATAAGAATCACTTGAATGAATGAATGAATGAATAAATGAATGAATGAATGAATGAATGAATGGATGAATGAATGAACAGAACACTTTATTTGTTGCTTTTCAGCATTCACAAGGTTCAATCAAGATTTCCACAAACAAACCCCCTTCCCACCCAACCCAAATCCACTCAATGACATTAAGAAATAAGAATCACTTATGGCTCACAACGCTAATTTCATAATTTTTTTGCTTTGAAAAATCCATTCCCACATACCACACACCCCCATTTTTTGTCTTCCTTTGTTCAACTGAAAATTAATGTGAAATTTGGACGGTGATTTGAGTCTTGTTTTCTCCACAAGAATGCAATGAATAAATATCCCGTATCACACATGGAGTATACTGTATAGGAAGATTTTCCCCATCAAACCTCTTCAACTCTAATTTCTGCTGGAAGCCCTAAGGCTTCCACAGTATTATCCTGGGTGGCTCAGGCAGGAGGAGAGCAATAAAAACATGACTCAATCCCTTCAAAAGGCGGTGACTCACCGAGCTCGTGTTGGTTAGGCCGGAAAACACCCATCGACGCCGTTCGTGTGGGCGTGGGGCCCAGCAGCAATCCGACGGCCACCGTCACCCACCATCGCATCGTCATCACCAACACAACGTCGCGATGAGTGCTCGGGTCGACCGCGGATCCACGCTGTGCTTCAGGCCCACTAATGCCCGCATAGCGTTGCGTGAACCGACACTTATTCCCCACCTCGAGTATATATATATATATATATCGGATTATTCCCTGAAACCATAAAAAAGGTCTTGCAACACGCATAGCCATAAAAAAAGCTATAATTTTTGAAACAGTTTTTCCCGGACTGGGGTTGACCACAGAGTCCGGTGTCTCGAGAGTGGCCCTGAAATTCCACGGGTCAGGTTATTGGCTCACATATTAAAAACGCATACAATTGCGCTGTACTGTACTGTACACAGTACTCGTAAAACAAAGTTATTCAGCATTCTTCGACACAATGAAGGTTGAATAACTACAGAACCCTTAAATCTTCACGGGCATCAGAACTCACAGAAATAAAAAAGGAAAAATCCAGTAAATCGTTCGATTTTCAAACGAAAAATCAATTATTTTTTTCCAACCAGCTCTGATCATCGGATATCGCTTGATGATCTACGCCTCTGCGTTGATAAAAAAAAACAGCCGAGCCTGAAAAAATGAATTAGCTGTTTGAGTAAAATTTTATTTTATGACTCAAGCCCCCTTCCGTCACTTTCTCCAGCTTTTCCTTCCCCAAATTAAATTCAAATTCACTGGACGCCGTCTGGATGGGACGCGAATATAGCACCAAAAATATTTAAAAATTCCACGCAATGACCTGGTAAAACAAAATACAATATGACAACAATATGACAAAGTACAAAGCACATGATATCAAAAAACCAAAAAGAGTGCGTGTGCGGTGAATTTCTCATGAAATACAAGGATTTTATGTTCAGTTGACAAGGAAGCAGAAGCTAGCTAGAGGAAGAGTTTAAATTCATCAAAGTATGTTTTTCACGCGAAACTACTGTATTTTGAATTATAATTGTATCGCAATTTTTTGCAATAAATGGATTACTTCACAAGCCACGTCAGAGTCGCGTTTTGTTCAAGCGTCAAATTTACTGTTTTATGCCGTTTTTTTCTTGTTGTTGTTTCAGTTACACATGCATATTCCCTGGTATGGAAAATGTGCCATCATTCCCACAGTTGGTTTCCCAGATCACACTCTTTCACCAGGTTGTTTCCACCTTTTTTCACGGATCACAACACTCTAGTTCGTGTCACTATCAGATTGCGCGAATGCTTGCTTTTATTGCCAGTCTGGAATGAGAATATTTCTTCCATAGAACACCAATTAAAATTATATAATGTAAGTCTATTGGAAAACAAGACTCAACTTAGGGACAATTCAACTTAGAGACACTCTTGATGCACCAATTATGTCTGCATCTGGGGGTCTCACTGTAAATCCTAAAGGGTAAAATTGGTGAAGCTTTAGGCCTCTTGACTACTGGATAACAAATATCACATGGGGAATTGTGAAATTTAAAACAAGTGTACAAATGCCCACTAAGTTTCTCACTCAATTAAAAAATAGTCAGATTTGTATTGCTCTTCAATTTCCTGTCACAAAAGATATTTCCATGCCCCAGAATAATGGCACAAAGGCATAAACATTATGAGTTATAGAGGTTTGAGGGTGAAACCCATTGAGTAAAGGAGGTCCAGATAATATGTACATTAGTGTTCTTATTTAAGATCATTTGGAAAAACAAAAAAGGAAAAATTGCATGAGGAGATTTTTTGCTTAGGGATGGTTAAGTGTACCATGTATGAACCCCCCAAAATACATATACCGGGATTTTTCACAAGGAAAATTGAAAATTGATAAAAATTCTTATCATTGCCTATATTTTTGTTTGAGAGGCGCATGTCAGTTTTACCATCATTTCAGTCATTTCAGTGTCCAAAGATTTTATATTTTGAAAGTAGCTGCATTTAATAAATCTAATTTTAGCCTCAAATGAATTTTAATTAAATTCCAAAAATACAGCTCTGTATTATAAACCAACTGAATTCTACGTTATTTTAGGTTACAGTAACTTTTTATTTTGGCTAACTTTTGAACAATTGTCTGGTGAAGATCAGTCTTGAATTTTCCGCCAATTGACTCGAGTATGACTTCAAAACAAAAATAATTTCAATAAATCACGTTTATCCGCCTATATATGTGTCTCCTCTTCAATTTTCAAAACTTGTGCATGTGGTAAACAATTAAATCAGGGTATGTGCTCATTTTTATGATGATTGTAAGTAGTGTACTGTATATGCCAATCACTTGCTATTAAAGATGCTTTCTCTTAAAACTGGGTGTGAGTTTCTTGGCTCTCATGCATACATTGCTGGATCTTTGTGCTGGAGACAGTGTGTTTGAGTAGGGATAAGATTTCGGTTACTCAATGTGGAAAAATGTAACCTCTTCGGATCTCCANAAACTGGGTGTGAGTTTCTTGGCTCTCATGCATACATTGCTGGATCTTTGTGCTGGAGACAGTGTGTTTGAGTAGGGATAAGATTTCGGTTACTCAATGTGGAAAAATGTAACCTCTTCGGATCTCCATTTAATTCTACAACAGGTTTTCATTCTCAAAGAGAAATTGTTTGGAGTGACATTATTACCATAATGACACTTTCCGACTTGTGTGTTGCCACGAATTTTCGCAGTCCCGTGGTGGCTGTCGACTTCGATTGTTAACGAGCCCGAGGCGCGCAGCCATTTTTCGCTTTTGTCCCTCCCCACTCCTAAAGAGAGCTTGTTCTGCCTAGCTGCTGCGTCCAGGCGGACTGGTATACTATGCATAACTTTATGCGTGGATACGTTATCTTCCGTGAGCAATCAGAAATCATTCAATCAGCTGATGTATATTTTAAAGTTAAATTTCTGAAATTTACTGTATAACCCATCGATTTTCATAAAAAATTGTAATATCTTACAGCATGTACATATTGATTGATCTCGCTGTTTGGACTATCCATACACCGTATGCCGCACTGTCAGCCTAAGTTTTCTGTAAAACCCCTTGATCAGAACTGCTTCAAAACTTTTAAAATCCAATAATTTAAAATTTCAGACAGATTACAGTTCTTGCTTCAGAGCAATTGCCTGTTGGCGACAGTATTGAAAAAATGACGCCAAAAGGCATGTTCTCGCGAACATATGTGATCGGAGGACCGTACTTCGTCAGGCGGATTTCGAAAGCTAGCGCCCTCTGACGTGCGGAGCTGTGGAAATCTGCGTTGCCGCTGGCAGCAGCTGTACGTCGTAGAATTTGGTTGACGAATGTATATGTGAAGCTGGCATAGCTCTGTGTGAGGTTGGTTGAGATGCGCGAATTCGTGGAAGGCGAATCTTCAGTGCAGAAGAGAAGCTAACATGACTGAAAGCATTGGTTACACGTCCGTAAATTCCGTGATGAAAAATTGCTGACGCGCGTTTGTGGTCAGCGAATTTGTCTCGATTGAACAGTTTCTCAGCTGTGGAACGGACTGTATTTCGGTACAGTTTACCGAGCTTCATTAAGCAGTGGTGATACATCTCTTTTTGTTGGTGGAAATCGTTTCGAGTGGCTCTCCTGTGTGGTTTTGCTTATGTGGATTTTTAATAGCTTCATTTTCTTCGAATATTTCCCAGATCCTTATCTCGCGCCCTAGCTGTGTGTTGAATGTACATACCTCGCGATAATCCCTGTATATAAGGCGTGGACTGACGAGGCCTGTTAGATTAGTGAAGGAAACTGTCCTGTCATGAGCGGGAGATCTGGCGGTAAGGGTCGCGCAAAGGAGTCGAAGGACAAAGCAGCGAAATCGGGCGGTAAAATGGGTGCCCAGGCTCAAAGCTCGAATGTCCCGAAAACCTCAGTTGGCTCCGCCAAAGAAGCTCTCTCTAGCGAGAAGCAGGCGGAGTTCAGCTCAAAGCTGCAACCGACCCCGGAGCAGATACGAATGGCAGCATTAATCCAAAGTTCCAAGAGCTCCCGAGCTGACGAAGAGACTGCGAAAAAGATAGAGGAAGTAAGTTTCGAGAGGATCTTCGATCGTTCTCAAGATTTTCATTATTTATTGAAATCGATGTATCCTACCCAGCTCAAGGTCTTGACTGAATGTGATGGAGAAAAGGCTGCGTTGGTTCTTCACGATTGTGACTATGACCTTTCGAAAGCCGTCGAAGTTTTACTTGAAGGAGGAGGAGCGCCAGCGGAAGTAAGGTTCTCATGCATTTTTTATTTTTGCATTTTTTGACCTGCTTGTGGTTTAGTGGACGGAGTCAGTTAGTCGGAAACGAAAGAAACAGCAAAGTCAACCGAACAAAGATGAGTTTTCCATGGGTGATGATCAAACATGGGATGCAGGTGATAGAGGCCGGCGTGGAAACAGTCGTGGTGCGACAAGCCAGCGACGGGGAGCTACAGGAGATACGGCGCCTGGCGGCAAAGAATCGTTTCGCGGTCGATCTCGAGGTGGGGGACGAGGGCAAGGAGGTCGTGGAAGAGGTGTGACGTACTTCGTATTTCTGGAATGTCGACTGTTCATTCGACGATGAATGTCCCACCTCGGTGAATTTAATAATAAAATTTTTTTTCTTTGAAGGAGCTGGAGAAATTCGAAGTGGAGTTCCTCGGGATGGCGATGGCCTGGAGGAAGGAAGAGGAAGACGTGCAGTGAATGGATCTGGCCGTGGACGGGGACGAGGAGGTGCACGGGGTGCTGGAAGGTCGCACCGGAGTCAAGGTGATGTCGAAGGCTTCCCCGAGTCCATCGATACCTGGACCAACAGTCAAGCGGAAGGCTTGACAGAAACCTCCAAAAAGAGTGATCTCAAAGTGGGTGCGTATCGGTGAATTCACATTCTGAGTCGCTATAATGCGAGAGTTCACAAGTGTTATCTTTCCTCGCGATCAGGTAAATGGGATGATAATTTCCCGAGTACAGATGATTGGGACAACGAGGAGTGGACTGGATCTCTGGCGGACTCGCGAGTCTTCACGCCGTCATTGGCCCAAGCGTCAGCGGAAGAAGAAGGCAAGGAGAATGGCGAGTCTGTTCCACTTCCTGCACCTGTGACAGCGACGGACCCCGCTGCTGCGCCGCCATCACAACCGCCGCTGCAGGATCAACAGACGCCACCTCCGGGTTTGCCTTATTCCGCTGCGCAACAGCAGCATCACCACCAGCAACCGCCAGGCACGCTGGACCTTGCGACGTTACTGGGCACAAAAACGAATCTCGGGGTAAGACTTCCTGGAGTGTAGTGCAGCCCTTGTCTGCGCAGGTTCAAGCTCCCGAAGTTTTCCAAGAGAGATAAACTCCGCGGAATCATATTCGATCTATAATTCAACTCCGGGCCGTAGAAATTCTTGCTGGAAAATGTATTGAGTCGATGTGTTCTATTTTAGGTCGATTCGATGAATGAACAATTCATGAACATTATGAAGGGCGGTTTGGAAGAGCAAACTGGTCAGTCCGTTAACTTATTTCCAAGGATGCCACCTGCTCCTTCAGCCAACCAACGCTCTCGACCTAAGGCACGCATGTCGAAGGTAATCGTACAGTGGAATAAGCAATTGATGAGAATGACGTAAACCTAATGGGGTTCTCCTATTTATTGTCTCGTATCTTCTCTATCATCCGGTATGGAACTTTAATTTTTATTTGTTTGATGTACGAGTGAAAATTTTCGATATCAAGTGTAAGTCTTCGCGAATAGGAAATACCGCATTGAAGAGTTTTCATTGAAAAGTATTTTCACGACATTCATGCCTCTTTTTTCATTTTTTTTTTTAAAGATTCCTTCGACTGCTGTGGAAATGCCGCAGGACGCTGTGACGGGCATGGATCTGCAATTTGGGGGGCTTGCGTTTGGGGAAATTGCGTGTCCTACGGTTAGCAGCGACGATGTGGATCCATCTATTGTGTCGTTCAGTATGGCGCCACCGGCAGGGTCCACGTCATCTGCTCAGGCGGCAGGCTTGGCAAAGGATCCAGCCATCACAGGTGTAGGGGATGTGCGGAAGGTGGCTCCTCCGTCACAACCTCCGCCTTCCTCGTCTGGGTCTTTCTACAATTCGAGGTTATTTCATGAGTTATCCTATCTTCTTAGTCTTGCCATGTTCAAGTTCGATTTTCCCATTTTCTTGGAGGGAGTAATGTAGAACTTCTGGATTCATTTCATTGAATTATTTAAAGTGAGCTTTTCCAGTTTATATGGAGGATTTGAAAGAAGTCATGCACGAAGTGATGAAAAGTGAAAAGAAATTGAATCTCGGGCATTCGGCCTTTCTCAGCATGAATGTCATGTTATATTTAGGCATTGGTTCACCTATTTTATCGTCTTCGTGAAAGAGACATATTTATTCACGAGTAGAAATATGTTTTATATTTGATCGGAATGGTTTCGAGAAGTGAGGAAGTACTTCGTATCACTCATCTTCTCTTCGCCTTGCGACAACTATTAATCAGTCGGTTATCCTATCCGGAACTTTCTTACCTTCAAATATCGTTATCATAATCACTGAAGTCACACGTTTGAGTGAGAAAATGAAACATGTGCGAGGGAAAATTATTTTCTTGGGTTTTATCATAATCGGGTTTATGAGTTGGTCTTGAAGGTAAAGAATAAACCACAGATCCCCCTACTTAATCGAATCATTGAAAGGTTGGGAAGTAGCCCACGTCGTGCTACAACCAGACGAAGGTACTCTTTTTCAGGCTCCCTCAGTTGAACAACTATCTGCAATTCTTTGTGTAAATTTTTCTGCTTATTCAAACTCTTACCGCATTGGGAAGGACGTTCTGTACTGATTAACTATGTTTTTTCCAGACCTGTTTCGCACTCCACAACAACCGCGGCTGCGCAACAACAGCCTGCCGTGTCTTCCTCGCACCTGGCGCAGGTGGAAAAAGAGGTTGGCAAGCCGGCCAACGGACCTTACGTTTCGGGCAGCCAATATCAACCCTCTACGGTGCCGTCATCCTCTTCTCAGTCTGTGGGTGCTGGTGGGGCATCATCTTCCTCGTCATCAACGGTGACTTACGGAACTGGCAAGCTACCTGCGGTGTCTTCATCGTCCGTGGCTACGGAATCGGCTGTGAGCGGAGGCATGTACTCAGGATCTTATCAAAGCGGCGTGAACGGGACGGCCAAAATGCCGCCGCAGTCAACGTCAAACAAAGATATTTCGGGTACTAATTATCGACAAGCGCCAGCTGGACCTGGGAAAGGTGGAAAACCGCCGAGTCAAATGGGTTTTGTCCAGTCTGCGGCGGGTGGCGGTGTTCCGCCACATATGGTGGGGGCGCCGTTTTACTTGCCGCCAACGAGTGCGTCGGGAGGCTTTTTTCCTGGACAAGGATTCCAGGTTGACGACATTTCCATGATGGCGCAACAAAGAATGGTGAGTATTCCCACAGTTGGATCCAGTTATGTTTTTACTTGCCACCGAATGTGTCTTCGTGGAGTACGTTCTATAAGATAGAGCATTGTTCGCTGATTCCTGATCTTGCTTGTTTCGTGGCTGCATACGAACTATCTGTTCGAAGATTTGAAAACTTCTAATTCCTTGGGATTTTCCTTGGAATGACGAAGATCAAAGTCAGTAGTTCAGTAAAAGGAATATTCAGTAGAAAACGCGGGAAACGTTTTTTTTTCTGCTGTTGAGTGCTCGTGATTTTCTTTTGCTCAGGGCGTAAATAGCTCCTCGGCTGCGAGCGTGTCTCATCGTCCGGACGTGCCCCATGGCGTGATGGCAGGTCAGCAGCAGGCTTCGCATTATACCCCATCATCTGTAGCTGGACCATTGGCGTCAGCGAGCGTCGACAAGTTCGGTGGAAACGCATCTGCTGTCGTGACTGCATCAGGTGGCGGCGTTGTGCGCCAAGACCAGGGCTCACCTGGACCCGGCTCGAGTCATGTTGTGGCCGCAGTGGCCGCCGTCGCAACCAATCCACCAAGCGCGTATCTCTCCTTCCTCCCGCCTTCCTTGCCGTATGGAATAGTGCCACCTTCTTTCCAGGGCCATAGCTACCAATCATCTGTGTTCCCAGTGAGTGTTACTAGATTTTCTTTTGATGAGGTTTATCTCTGCCCTTTCAAATGTTACATTCCAAAAATTTATGAAGTGCTGCCTTCAGCGATGCTTTGTTGACTTTAGCTCTGGCCTAGTTTGGTTTTGTAAATCTTTCATGCCCTATTTCGAAGTGGCGTCATTTTATCCCTGCCGAAACCTGGAATTGGAGATTATTTTGTGGAAGCTAGCGTTATTCTAAGGACAATTGGTTCGTTTTCCCGATTCATAGCGATTTTAGTCCAACTGTTCGAAGAATTTGTGGATATCCATACAAAGATCTACTGTACATCTTTTACCGTTTGTGTTCCGTACCTTATGTGTGTTGAGGAGTTCAAAAAAGCTTGTGGTGTCATTGGAGAGAGTGAATTATTTTTTAAGATGGCTCATCCGCAGGTTCCGCAAGCGAGCAACAACGTGCATGGGCACGTACCGAACAGTGGAACAGCGCAGTTCCTGCAGAAAAACTTTCCTTTGCAGCAGACGGGTTTCGATCACCTTGGTGGTGGTGGACACGCCGATTATGGGTGAGAAATTGGATCTTCATTTTTGGACTCATTTTGCCGTCGATGCGAATATGAAGTATATTTTTAGTCTCGATAATCGACGATTCGATGATTGTCGTTAACAACAGTACAGTATTACAAGTATGTTCATATGTATATATTCGCGATTATTTTGGACCTCGTGAACTTCCTAGGTTTCATTGAACGATCTGATGGTGGGTAGAAATATGACATTTGAGTGTATAATGATTTTTTTTTTCTGGAATCGGTAGCAATAAGAACACGTACCTGAACAGCGCAAAAACGACTAATGCGGGGCCGGTACAGCAGGCGCCTCAGGATCCGGCGGCCATGTATGTCGCAAAAAAAGTCGGCGTAAGTTTTCTCACTTTTTCTTCCCTTCAATTTTTTCCCGCTGCTCAGCTTTTCTATGCTGTCTGTCATTTGTTTATTTTCAATTATTGATTTGATTCACCGATTGATTTTGCTCCAGGGATACAACAAGTTTGGCGGACAGCCTGCGCCGTCATTTCCAGGCATGCACCAGCACAATATGGTGATGCAAAACTATTCGGCTGGGTCCGCCGGGCCGCCATCCGCAGCGGCCGTCGCCAGCTCAGCTGCCCAGCAGCAACAGCAGCACCATCATCACCATTCTCAGCAACCCGAGATGATGCAGGTAGCTGTTTCAACTGATAAACCCTCCTGACATCAGCGCCTTCGATTTATTCTAGAATTAAACCTATTGCCATTTGCGTTTTCACAAAATGTCACATTTATTTGATCGAAATTTGCGAACCTTTGGCCCATAAACATGAGCTATCGCGCTTTAGGCTTCTTGACACGACTCTTGGGTAGAAGAATTAATCCTGTTCTCCTTTGGCTGGTGTAGAGTTCATTGCTTAGGATACCCCGAAAATAAGATGCGTATGAACTAGACTACTAGAGCCATCTCGTAATACGTCCACTAACCAATTGAAAGCACATTAGCCATAGTTTATGCCGCGTAAACCGATTTAACTTCGAATTGGCTTTCATGTACTGTACTGTAAGTCATTTTTTTGAAATCACTAACAATTTTAGATTGTGCCTGATCCTCACTTCGTCAGTGGTGATAGATGTTGAATTTTTGAAATTGTGAAATGGCGCCGTTTTCGGGAAGGTTATTCCTGCATGAAGTGGTATTGGTGCTTTGCACTGATGTTGTTCCATTCCTTTGTTTCAGTACCGTGTTCAGCAGCAGTCGTATATGCAAGATGGTGGCCCATCTGCGGGAGTGGCCGTGACAGCTACAGCTGTACGTTCTGCACCGCCACCATCAAACAAGGGCCCATCAAAGCCGTACTCTCAATGGGCGTTCAACAACTGAGCGGCTGCGGCTGTGACGACGACGACAAAGGACCGACGATGACTGCTTGTATTGGTGAGGCCGTGTTGCTGCGCTCCTGTTCCTTCCCTTCCTGGTCAGCCTCCTTGTGAACAACGAAGACAGCGCCCGCCGTCGTCTCGATCATCGGTAGCCCTCAATAGGATTCATCCGCGTCTGCTGCTATTCGAAATTAGATTGTTGTCCTCGCCACTGGTGTCGCGTCCATCCCTTTCCTGCGACAAGACATGTTTGCAAGATACAGCTTTCGACTTGCATTTTCTGCGCTCGAGGGGACGGGTTTCCTTTTTGCTCTGGTATTGTCTGCTGCGACTGGAAAGCGCAGTGCCAAAGACTGGGGCCGAGTTGCCGCCTGTGTTTTCGATTGTCCTCCCAGCGTAGGTTGTCCCCGCTGTGATTCCTGCGCGGGTCTTGCCGGCAGATGTCGCGCTTGGATCCGCTTGGTAGAGTACCTGTTGACACAGCAACTTGTGATACTTGCTGGACTGTGTCTGTCGTGCTTGCTGCTGGGGGTTGCGCGAGGAAAAGGCATTAAGGATCATGGCGGTGACTCGCGGGTCCCGGTGCATCAGTCTCGCCCAATTTCGACCCCGTGCTGTGTCCGGAAGATAGGTCATCGTGGTTCAACCTGTTCGTACGGGTACCTTCTCATGATTGTTTCTATCATCTAACGCGTTATATCACTGGAATATGGAAGATATCAAGGTGTAAAATCATGAAATAAATTGACTGGAATATTCCCTGCTTTGAACATCTTCGAAGTCGGAAGCAATGAGATTTTTCCGAGGCTCACCGTGTACGGGTGTCCTCTTGACTTTTTTTTTTTTGATTGATTGGAATCGGATCAGCTGCTGCGGTTTCGTTGTACTGTATAAAACGAGTTATCTCCATTGTGGATGTTGATGCGTCAACCTTACTGTGGTTGGGTTGACAGCCGTCTTATGTAAAGCAATATCCTAGGTTTCCTAGGATATTCCATCCCCGAGATTAAGTTACAGGGCCGGAAGGGTTGCGCTGTTGCACTGGAAAGCCTAACGTCATCGACAATTCGGCTGTCTTGGGATTTCCGGCGTGACTAGGATTTGATGCGTTTTACCCTCATTCTCGGAGCAAATGCCCGTGTAAGTGAACTGTATCGGCACGTTAATTCATGGCAAACCTGCCGACTTGTGCGATCTTGGAACCGTTTTTCACGGAGATTTTGCTCAGTTGTGCGGTTTGACAGTACAGTACTGTTGTGTTGTTGCTTTTGCTGGTCTTCGCGCCGAGTTCGAATTTCACGTTTATTTTGTTGCATAGATTTTTGAATTGTGTTGAGTTATTGAGTTTAAACTGGAGGCCAGAATTCACTTTTTGCGCGGCGTTTTTGTTGCCAGAGACGCGTCTATTTTGAATGAAGTGACCTTCTGGTCAAACTTTCAATCGCTCTGCCTCATTTTACGATATACAGTTTCGAATTCGGTTGTGAAAACTCCGCAGGATATTTGGAAATGGATCCCGTGTCAATGGAAGTGATGTCCGCTCTGATTCACTTGCGTCGGAATTCTCGAGGGGAAGCTTTTTTCGATCAAACGGTGTCGCGAAAAATCCGGATTCTGTGCTCACCCGTCGAAACGGGGCATCATCCGGGTTTGTTTGGGGCGGGTCGTGTACACTGTGTGTGATAAATCGCGGACACAGCAGCGTGGAGCCGGAAGAGGGAGTTGGGGTCGGTGCGACGACGACAGTGGTCAATTTCGGAAGGGGGCAAATGGCGGAACGCGCTTCAAGTTGTCTCTCGCCTGCCGTCAATTCTTGCGCGTGTGTTTGTGGAGTGAGTGCAAGTGCGTGTTTGGTCGCGTCGTGTCGAGTTACACGTGGACGGGAAGCTTGGCGTCAACTCTTTGTTCATTCCGCCTTCGCGATCCCTTCACACGTGGACGCGTTTTGAGGCACAGAAAAGAAACGAAAGAGGGAAGCGAAACCAAAACCCCCGGAACCTGTTGACTGTAGGATCCATCGCGAGATTGACTTTTCGAGGCCTCTGTTGTGAACGCCGCCGCGTACAAGTTGGGTCGTTACGCAAGCATTTCTTCCCCGTGGGATAATTTTTCCTTTCTTTTCTGTCGTGGATAGAATTTCGTTTCTGTGTTTGTTTTTTAAATGTTGAATAAAGAAAAGCTGCTTTACATCAGTGGAGAGACGGGAGTCGCCTGAGAAGGAAGGTGTCGAGACTCGGACGAAGGAAATTGGCGAGCGGAGGCATCTGGAGCAGGCCGATGTGCGTGAATGTGATTGGATCGAAATGGGTTTCGTGGGGGGAGAACAGATCCTGCTTTTGTTCGCTTCTTCGGTCCCTCCGGTTCCGCGGAGGGAGGAAGGAAGGATTTGATCGACTGTATTCTTCTACGTCTGCAAAAATAAACGATCGGGCAAAACTGGAGAAATGCGTTCGGTTTTCGTTCCGATTTTTTTTAGGCCGACTCCCCAGTGCATATGGTTCCTGTTCTCGCCCTGTGTCTCGGTTGGTTTTCCTCCCGCCGTCGTCGCGCGCGCGTGATTCTTCGGTGCTCCCCCGCATCAGCAGTAAGCCGAGGCTGCAGTTTTGTTTTTTCCATTTTTATTTTCTTTTTGTAAAGCCGGGCACGTGAAGGTGATCTGCTGTCGTCGTTCATCCCGTACGTGTGCTCGGGTTCCACTGCTCGACTTCTTATTGGAAAAGTGGTCGGTCTGCTGGCGGTGTTGCGGGCAGGCGGATGGCAACAAAGACTTGACGAATGAAGGAAAAGCCAAACTTGTGGGGGACTTAACCCGTTTGTCGCATTTCTTTCGTTCGTTCGCCGATTGAGCGATCATCGACCCAGGGCCTGGCTTGATGAAGCGTGTAATTTGTCGTCAGCACCCGGCAAGCGACTTTCTCCTCTAACACACACACACACACGCACGGTTCTGTAATTTGTTACCGTGTTTATGAAAATCGATTTTCTTTGGGAAGATTGATACTGTACAATATTTCGTAGACTCGGTTTGCGTCGGTAATCCTCGCTTGAGGGAGTGCGCCTGGAATTCTGAGATGTCGCACCTGAAGGAATCCTCGATCCGCCCGAATATCTCTGACGAAAAGAAGTCTTCCTATACTTCGCACTTGAACGTGTAGATCGAGGGTATTCAGGGTTAAGTTTCCGTGTTTCCTCGACTAGGACGCTCACCCGAGTTTTTCAGTACGAAATTTTGATGACATTGCTGTACATATATATTCAATCATGCCATCTTTAATGACTCCAAATCTGCGATGCTTCAAGAATAAGAACTCCCAACTTTGAATTTCGACATGAAATGAACTCATTTCTCAACTGTTCTCTTTAAAGTAAGACTTCCTGGTAAAAATCAAGTTAAATTCACACTGAAGTTTCTGTGAATTGACAGATTTTAAACCGCTTGTGATATGCATGGCCCCCTTTTCTCCTCTCAAATTTGAGAAAACAAAGCGCATGTGATGGTACTTGATGAAATATGGTACAGTGTACATGCATCATTGCCTGTCCTCAGATCTTCAGGAATAATGCTAGTGAAACATCACCTCGAAGTTGTTTTATTTCGAACAATGGTACCAGGGAAGTTACATCAGGGATACAGGACATCTAAAACAACTTCCGGTTGTAGGAACGCTGTGACGTTTGCTTGGATGCTTGAGAGCGTTCTAGAACTCAGAACGGCCTTCCTTTCTCCATGCTAGTCATTCGTGGTCTGCTCCAAATCGCGCAACCGATACTGTCTCCGTGTGTCGTGCATCGCATTTGCGTGTGATGAGTATAGGCGCTGAACAGAAGCGAAAGGGTGCCTGCGAGAGATCTAAGCAACACTTGGCATGAAAATTATTCACAAACTGATGAAGTGACAGTTAAAAAAAAAAAAAACATTCATGAGGATGTTAGTCGTGAATGATGAGGCAATATGATTTTTTATCCCTTCAATTTAGCAGTCCTGCAGTACCTGTAATGGATTCATCTTTTAAAATCCGCACAACGTTTCTTTTTATCAAAAGGCAGATTTTAAGGGGTTTCTGATACATTTTGTCGCAGGTGGGCTCACTGTACAGCAAAATTCGAGGGGCCAGGAAAAAGTTTTTAGAGAATCCCTACAACGCAGGGAAAGGACCCTTTTGAACCAACAAAATTCGGTACACAGGGTATAATGCTGTAGAGAGTTCACCTGTACATAAAAATTTTCCTGAACAATTATTCCCGATTTGATTTGTCTCTGAATTCTCGGCAAAAGTTCAAATTTGAACGTTTCTTATACGGTGCATTTAAGGAATCAGACATATTTTGGGCAGTGATATTTCCTACGCTTTTTGGTTGAACACTCCATTTTGGATTTTTACTCTGCTGCCAAAACTGTAAATGAAAGCATTAAATATCTGCCGCACGTCGATCAATAATCCACGTGTAGTTTTTCTTTCTAAAATTACGGTACCCCTGAACAAAATACTGAAATGAAGAATTGTGTTGAGCTGTAATCCATGAGTATGTACATCACATAAGTACTGTACATTGGGGCCCCGACATACGGACGATTTGACATATGGGTACTTGGAACTTGAAAAATATGCCCTGACATCTGGACAATGTCTCAAGATATAGACACTTGGCCAACAATTTTAGAAAAATGGAAATATTTTTTCAAATTTTCATACCTGTTGACCATTTAAATTCAAATTGAGCTACAGTATTTAAATTTAAAATGAATTATATTACCTTATAAATTAACAGTACCTCGTAATCAAAACGGGCAATTTTTTTGCTTGTCATTAAAATCCTTTGCTTGCCAAAAAAATATGATTCTGTGTGGCTTTCTTCCGCACGGTTATTTTCTGTATCTTGGGAGTCGAGAAAGCAATTTTGGGAGGACTTTTCTGAATTTTTGATGAACACAAGAAACAATTGAACAGGTTCCCGTTTATGTCTATTGGGCAAAGTGATGAAAGACATGCAGCTGACATTGAGACAAGGTCCAAGCACCAACTGCGTCCGCATCTTGGGGCCCAACTCTACTTCTACCGACAGCTGGGGTTTCCAGCTGATGTGCCAAAATGATTCATGGAATTTAAATACTGTAGAGGGATTCTGTTGTTTATCATGCCGGTGATTTCCATGCCCTTGCTGCTGGCAGTAGAAGACCTGGCCAGATGGATTTTGCTCTAGGACATTGTTTCCCAACCCTGGTCCGCGGGCCCAAAAAGGTTGGGGAACACTGTTCCGGGACACATTTCATGGCCAAGCACGGACTTTCGGTAAATGAAACGAAGCCAAGATGATGGTGATCACGTCCTGTCGAATGGACGAGCCTTTTTATTTGCCGGTCAGCGGGCAGAGACGGAAACAAAACCAAGTGCCTTCCCCTCTGTACAAGACGTACATCATCACGCGAGAAGGTGACACAAACACAAAAGCAGCAACAACATGAAACAAACGCAGCGATGAGGAAGATGACATGAAAGTTGCCCGCGACACGGCACACACTCGACGTTTATATCCGGGGCTTCTGGGACTCGACATGCAAAGTTCCATCATTCTTTCTCTCCTTCTTCAGTTTTTTTTTATGATTTTTGAAACCATTCATCCACGCATGAAAATGGGGACTTGGGGAAGATTTGGCAGATTCCTGCAATACAGAGTGGGCTTTCCAAGAGATTGATGTTCCAGTGCCCCTTCCTGCTGATGCTGAGTACTGCATCAGCAGAATACTGTAGTACTGATGCAAGGTATACTGTACTTCTCAAGTCCACGAACCCTAATTGTCATTGATCTGATCACAAATTCAATGTCCTTTGAAAACAGCAGCAATATTGGTGGACGTATACAAGGGCATATAAGTCCTTATAAACGTGTCATTTTATTTAATGCCTAAGTCTCAAAAGAATAAGAAAAAAGTACATAGATTGTATTTCTCCATGCAATCCTAAACTTCAATCATCAATTATTTCATCAGCTTTAGGAATAAGAAGTTGAGATCCGGCATGCCATATTGAAGGCCTATAGTTTTCAGAGGTCATTTTGTACTTCGAAAGAGAAATTTTTGCAGGCGCAGAAACACTCAATTATCTCTAGAAAAAAGGATATTGTTTTTTCTTTGTCAAAATAATGTCCTGGTTTGACCATGTATTTTACCAAAATAATGGATTCATGGACTTGTATTGTGCATTCAAATTTCATCAACCAAGAGGTAATGCTCTTTTGGCAAAAACAAAAATTATGCATGAAAATGTGATGTTGGTTGCATGGACTCTGTTTGAGAAATCTGAAAAGGTTTTGCAGGTTATCTCATATAGACCTTAAAACCCAAGCTGGACTAAAACGTAAATTTATTTAGTTGAACACTGGTCCTGAGCTCTGTTCCCATTGCCCAAACTGAAAAGCAGGAATCCCCAAAAAATGTCCCCAGCAGCAGAAAAGCACCCCGACCGCGACACACAAAACGGAGCCATGGTCATACCATATTTACTCAAATATCATACACCATCCATTATAAGACGCATGTCCCCCCTATTGAATAAAAAAAAATGCACCTTCATTGAATTTAATCTTCTCAAAATCAGTTGTTGCTGCTGCAAATGTTTCAGATTCAAGCTTAATTCCGTCCAACGCTTTGGGACTTTGTGCCCTTGAACTGGGAATGACCTCACCTTTTTTTAATTTAATTTATATTCTGCAGATTTTCTTGGCCAGAGGCAGTCATCCTCAAAAGCCTGCAAAACCACTTTCTTTTATGTAGAACACAATGCACCTCAATGCGTAAACCAATACTTGCTTTAAGTATGTTTTGTATTTCAGCTTTTTAAAAAACCTGAAAATGACAGCGAAGAATGGCGATTGAATTTCAAACTTTCTTTGCATTTGAAATATTGTGCTGATGGAAATAGAAGCAGACACTCACTGTATTACGCAGTATTTTGCCTGCAGATCTGACAGACTCACTACCCCTCTTGAGCCAATTCTGGAATAAGAGAAAGTTGTTCTTAATGCTGGCTTCCACTTTCTTTCCAAATATTCAAATAGAAATATCAGACTTCATTACGACTTTTGATACATTTAGTATGCTGTGGAAAGTTTTCTGTGGACCGGCAAAAAAACTTCTGTGGACCAGCGCCAGTACACGGACCACCAGTTGTGGACCACTGGTGTAGTGTTCTGGCCAGCAGAAATGAGCTCATAATTATATTTTTCCAGCATCATCAAATTGCATCTACAATAAGATGCACCCTAGCTGACATTCATGTTACCATATTTACTCAAGTACCACTCACCCTCAAGTAAGGTGTGCACAGGGGTTTTTCAGTTGGAAATTTGGCTATGATCTTATCCCCAAGTAAGATGCGCACCCCAATTTTTAGTGAATCTAAAAAATTGAACAAAAATCTGATCAATTTTCAACTTTTTCAGTGCAAAAAGTTTTCTTGTCACATTTTTTCCAAATGTCTCCATTATAATTAAGTATAATGCTCACATAACTTCTTGAAAAATTTGTACCCGCTTATGACGCGCACCCCTTTTTTTCTTCTGAAATTTGAGAAAAAAAAGGTGTGCGTGGCACTTGAGTAAATACGGTATTTGCAAGCCAATTTTTCGCAGCAAAGACGCGCGTCTCATCATAAATGCTGCCGATATTCGAGTAAAAAATCGACGAGTTTGCCACAGCACGGCCCCGTTCATCCATCTATCTACCTCTCTCTGTATGTACACATGTACACGCAATGATATATATGTATACAGTATTGCACGGAAGGAAAGCGCACGGCGTGGCGATGCTG